TGGTTTAATTCAGGCACGAGTTGGTGAGTCAGGGGAGCCAGGGCCAGCTCTGCCGCACGTTTCTTCCCTGCCCTTTGAGCAGACAGCTGTGTGCAGACGCCCACGCTGTCACCGTCACTGGGACAGCCCCCCCACGGGGAGCTGCAGCAGGCAGGACCCCCCCCCCCCCCAAGCAGCTCCCGACTCCTTAGCTGGCTTCTCTGCATCAGATGCATCGCTCATCAGCGCTCGTAAATCCTCCCCGGTGCCTTTGACGGGAAGCGCTGGATAACATGCGGGTTTTTTTTTTCAGGACTGCCAGGAAATCACAACATCGAGGAGCGAGGGGCGGTGTGACCAGCAAACACAGCAGCACGTGGATTTGCAGAGTGTTGCTAGAAAGGCAGAAAGCATCCCAAAGTGGCAAAATTATCCCTTTTAATACCAAAAAGCTGCGGAAAGGCAAATCTCCACCCACCAATGTAATCACTCTGCAAAAGCAGAGTTTCCCATTAGAGGGTGTTATGATCTGACTGTCTGCGGGACTTGTGATATCCAGGAAGTGCTCGCTAGAAAAGGAGGCACAGCAGAAATAATAATGCCTGTATGTGACACTGTCCTGCCCTTTCTCTTCACGCTCGCGTGCAAAAGGCACCTCTGCTCCTGCTAACAAGAGCCTCCTTGGTCTCAGCAAGCAGAAACGAGACCAGAAGACGCCACAACTTCTGCTAACACAGAGGGAAAAGGCTTAATAAAGAGCAGTATTGTTATAGCACCCAGGCTGTCTACTCGCTCCTCCCACCATGCAGCTGGAAATTGCAGCGCTTAGTGGCAGAAATCACCTCCACAGCATTGTCCCCACCAGGGCATTTCTCCTGCCAAAGTAGCTCCTGTTATCATTTTTCCTGATGTATAATAACTTCTTCCACCTTTGGATAGAAGTTTCTCACAAGAGATTGCTCTGATGGTCACTAGCAGAGAAGAACCAGGGGACAGAGCTCAGGTTTCAGGAACAGACCCCCCAGGAACTCCCTGACCCCCACGCTTGTGCTTTTTCAGGTGTCCCCCTTTCTTCTCTTGCCTCTGCAAGCTGTGGCTGCTCCTCCAGATGCTGCACAGGATCCCAACACTGATCCACCATGTCCGTGGCTCTTCTAATCTCTACTTTGTTATGAGTTCTTCTTGTTTATTCTGCAAAGACGGCACGCTTATCACAGTTGTCTGCAGTCACCCAAGCCGTCTCTGCTTGGGGTTGTCCCGATGTTGCACAACCGCAGCCAACGTCCATGTCAGCAGAGCCCCTTGGCGGGAACACGGTGTCCACCATCACCTCTCCAAACCACAGCCTGCGTCCATCCAGTCCCACCTCTGCCACCAGCAGGATCCTTCTTGGCGGTCCCAGCGAAGACCACCAACAGACAAAATCAACACCAACCACTCTAGAATCTGCCCCCTTTCTCAAGCAAGGCCCCAAGTCCTCTTTCTTACCCAATTCAAGCCATGCATCACCACACAGGATCTTTGCTGACACCAGTCCAGCAGTAACATAATATAAATATATATATTCATGGTGCCATACAATTTTTTTTTTTTTTTTTCAGCTGGGAAGCACCTTGCCCCATGCATCTGTCATGCCCTTGCCAACTTGCTAATGGTTGTACTCACACCCCCGGCGAGCCAGTGGCTCCCGCTATCACACCTTTGATCTCCTCTCACTGGCTTCCAGTCTTATCTCCAGCTCCTTCCCAGCCAGCAGCACCACCAGAATTTCATTTGTCCTTTGACAAATGACAAACGTCCCACTCTCTGGCAATATCCTGGCTGCTTATTGCCTGCACACTCCCAGGCTTCCTCGCATCAGCCACAATAATTAAATCACGTTTTTCAGGCGGGGTGAAGGGCATTTTAGGTGAAAGCTCCCAACACCTCCTCCCAGTAGAGCTGTAGCCACAGATGGGGCTTTGCCAGGGTAACGGCACTGCTTGGGGATCAGGACTTTCTCCAGCACTCCCAGCTGATGCAGTGATGCTGTAAGAAATTAATTCCTGCCATAAGCTCATTCCTTCTAGTTGTCCTCGAGCACCTCTGCTAGAAATACCTTTCTTTAGTCTCTGAAACAGCCAAATGCCTTGAGGTTGGCTAAATGGCAACTGTTGTCCAGACATGAAGTGCAGATCCTGGGGCAATGCTATTGGCCTTGATGCCCAAAGAGAAAGGAGGCAGAACAGAGCCAAGGCAGTGAGGATTTAGCACAGACTTGTCAGGGAGACACAGGAAAGTGGTGCCAAAGCTGCAAGTGGTGAGAAGCTGGCAGAGCTAGGGTGGAGTTTGCATTTTACTCCCCAGGATACTCCATTTCCAGATGCAGGGGTGTGCAAAGACAGCTCAGGGCCTCCAGAATGCACATCCCAAATCTTCTGTGTGCCTCTAGGGTTCGCAGAGCAGCAGCCTTTAGGCAGAGCCTCTTCTTTGCACTCCAGATTTGGGTGGTGGTGAGCAAGCCCTGAAGTGAGATGCTTCTCCCAGAAAGCTCCCAAAGGAAAGGCTCAGCCTCCTTGCTGAGCTGGCTGGAGTCCCAGTTTTCCTCTGGGAGGATGGGGCAGGCATCCTGACTGCTATCAGGCTGCGGCCACCCCCCTCAGCAAGGATTTTTAAGGCACTAGTTTGAACTACAGAGAAAATATCTTCATGCCCGACTCTCCTGCAAACTAAGGATATGTATAGCTCACTCCGTGCAACTTTTGAAGGGCAGCAAGAAGACCATGCTCTCCACAGCCCTCCTGCCTGGTGGCTTATAGATGTGCCCATGGGAAGCCCGAGCAGCCCAGCTGTAGCCACCGAGCAGTGCTCTAGGCACAGCTGGTGACACGGGGTGCCACCAACCCAACGGGACGCTCTCAGCTGGGGTCACGTCTATGCAGACTGCAGCCAGGCCTTACAGAGAACCCCTACAAGCATCGTCATGGCCAAACTCACAGTCTATTCTGGTCTAAGCTAGTCTTACAGTCTCCATCTGCAAGAGGAAAGGGTCCTTGGGGGGGGGTCTCCAGCATAAGCTGAGCATGCACGTGCGCAAGCGATGGACAAACCCCATCCACGCTGGCTTCTGTGTCCTGTTGGACCTTCCCAAGGCGGAGCTGCAAGCTGCTGCAGGGAGCTGCTGGCAGCTACTCTGGCATTTCAAGGTTGACCTCTAGAGGAAGTTTGTAGAGGAGGTATGGCTGCCAGGGTGACACAGTGGCTGCAGAACCTAATTGCCCATAGCAGGAGCCTGAGGACTTGCAGGTTAGCTGTGCCCCAGGTATCTAGCAGCAATGGCAAGCACGGCATGGTGCCCCAACAAATGCGTCCTCCCCAGTTCAGGCGTGCTGGGGCGAGACCGCATGGAAATGCACCCTCATTACTGCAAACTCACCATGTGTCCCCCAGTCCTGGAGACCTGCCCCTCGTTTTTGTGACTGGGATCCCTGCTGAGGCTGCAGCAGAGCCACGCAAGCTGCCCTCCAACATGGGAAGCCCCTTCACCGGCTCTCCATGCTCACCCCAAAAGGGTTCAGTGCTCTTAAAGCCTGACACGCTCTGCTTTCCTCCAACCGCCCACCCCCCAGCAGCTCTCCTTCTGCTCTAAATGAATCCATTTATCACATAAAATTAAATCAAGACCCGAAGTCTGCTGCGCTGTCAAGACGCGAGGGTGTGAACCACATCATGCTTCACTGAGCCTTAAAAGGAAACATAAATCTCCGTGCCTGAGATCACAGGCTCTGTGAACATCACTGCAGGCAAACTGCTGCGCACCCCAAACATCCTCCCCAGAGCAAGGAGAGGTGAGAAAAACAAATCCAGCCACCTCTCCCAGATTTTCACTCTCTCCCCGCCGCCCCTTCACGCCATGCCAGCCTCAGTGTGTAACATCCCTGGCAGTGGTACCCTCTGCCCCTGCCCCAGCGCTACCAGCCCTTGGCGCAGCACTGGCTGCCCACCGGTCCAGAGACGCTGATTTGCTTCAGCAAAGCACCTGGGTCAGATTCTGAGCAGCATCTTCTCCCCGTGTCCTTGCACACCCTGACTTAACCCTGCCTCTCGGGGCCTTTGTGCCTCCTGGAGAAGATTTTTTCCCCTCTTTTTCTGCTCCCGATAGAACTGCTAGGACAAGGAGCCACCATGAGCATCCTGCTCTATGCCCCACCATGCCTGCACTCTGATACCCCTCTGGGATGAGGAGGAGGTAATATTAAGGGCCTTTGCTTCACAGTGGGCCAGGGAGGATGAAAAACTCACCACCCCCTCCGTGGGGAGGCACAGGAGCAGCTGTCAGGGCTTTAGGTCTCATACCTGGGTCCTTCTTGCCCCACGCTGCCCAGCCAGGGGATGGCAAGAAGGGGGATTTCTACCAGCTGCTGAGATAGAGTTCTGGGGGAGATTAGATGGATTGGGGTGCAGATCGGAGAGCACCACAGTGTCGCAGTGGGCTGCCCAGGTCGGTACCCCTCCCAAAACGCGTTTACCCGCTCAGTCTTTCCTCCTAGGTTCCCAACGGCACAGCTCCTCCAGATGAGCACCTCCCAAGGGTCACCACAAACACGCAGGTTGCCGGCTCTCAGCCTGCATTGCCCCAGACAACCCCCCAGCAGCCCCCCCTTCCCCCTCCACCCCCATCCCCCCCCCTCCGAAACATCTTGCTTCCTTCACATCCTCAGCCCTCGCACCACCCAGAGCAGCTTATTCCCCCAGAGCAGGGAGAGACGAAAAACCTCGCGACCAAGAGAAGCCGGAGGGGAGACGCTTACCCTTTCCAGGCTGCAATTTCTATCCTCCCCCTCCCCACCTCCCCCCCCCCCCCCCAGCATCCTGGCGTGGTCCCCCAAAAAACAGCGGTGCAGCAAAGCCGGGCGCAGCCCGGTGCTCCCACCATCTCCCAGCCCTACAGGGAGGCACAGCCCGAGGTACAGACCCCAGCCCCCCAAATAGAGCATCCCGGGGTGCTGCCCCCCCTCCACCCCCCCCCCCCCCCCAAGTACCTTTGCGGAACGGCATGGGGCGAGCGGGCGGCAGAGCTGCGCTCGGACGCCTGGGTTCCGCGGTCGCGGATGCCTCGCTCTTTAAATATATTAAATATATTTCTTCTTTATGTTATGTTTTATTCCTTCCTCCTTCTTCTTTTAAAAGGAAACGGACATATTTGGGCAAAGCCCGGCAGAAACCAGCGTCATTTGGAGGCAGGCACTGCAGAAAGGAGGAAGTTCTTGCAATTTCGGAGTTTTTAACCCTTCGCTTCCCGGAGACATCAGGGCTGGGAGAAAGGTGACAGGGACAGGGCGAGGAGCTGATGGCCTTAGAAAGGGATGGAAGGCACTGGGAACTGGTTTTTGGTTTGGTTTGTGGTATTTGTTTTGTTGTTGTTTTGTTTTGGTTTTTTTTTTTTTTTTTTTTTCCTGGTAGGACCAGTACAAAGCTGAGTGTAATGGATGTGGGTGGGTTAATGGGGTTTTGGCCTCCCACATCACCTCTGCCAATCTTATGAGCTCAGCAGAGCACCAATCCCATCTTCTTTGGGGTGGCACTGGGCCAAGCTGGGAAAACTCAACCTCATCCAACACCAGGGAGCCAGAAACTAAAATCCCCCTGCTTAGCACCTCTCATCCTGCAGTGGTAACCCTGCTTTGCTGAGGATGTCCAAATCCCCCTCTCCTGGCACCACAGCAGGGACAGCCGGCGCAGGGATAGGATGAGCCATGAGCTGAGCCTAAAGTTTTGGAGCGCAATCAGGTCTGCGTGGCTTAGTCTCTACCATTCAACCTGCAGCCCAGGTTGCAGCAGGAGGTGAAGGTGGGGCATTATCACCTGAGAGAGTTGTTTTCTTTTACTGTGGTTCCTTTACTGCCTTCCCTGGAGGTAGAAAGAGGCATTGGCTTGGAGCTAGTTCAAGAGAAACTCCTTAAGCTACGCAGGACTTGGCCCCATCCTTCCATCTTGGTGCTCATGAGCTCTCTGCTGTATCTTTGCTCCCTGCAGAACTGTTCCTCCCTCTTGGAGTCACCGAGACTTTCCTTAAACCATTCCTGTGCCAGTGGCCATGGTGTATAAAGCCTCTCTGCCCTTCTACTGCAGGCTCCAGCCCCATCCAGCCCAATATGATGCTCACGGGAGTGATCTTCATCCGTGCCAGTGCAGAGTCTGCCAGATTTGGCTTAACCCTGCTCTGAAGAAACCTGTTCAAGCCAGTGGGTGAGGAGCACTCCAAAAAATGTCCCCCCAGGCTCTTATAAGAGCTGTAACTCCAGCAGGGATGGCAGGGACATCAATGTCTTACATGGCATTGTTGCCTCTGCCCTGCTCTGGGAGCGACGGCTGCTGCACATAGAGATGTCTCCAAGCCACAGCACCGTGTGAGGGACAAAAGCATAGAGGATTTGGTGGCATGGGCTGCTGGGCTTCCTTCCAGTTACAGCAGCTGATTTCTTCCCTCTCCCTGGAGAACATGGCAGGACAGGCTGGAGTTGGGTCTCTGCCCACATAAATTGAGCAAGCAACCATTTTATTGGGGAGAAACCATCTGAAAATGGAATTTCCCAGGACATTTAGCAACCCTAAAAAGCCACAGGCTGGGAAAATTCAAGGCAGATGGACTAGATGCCCACGTGCCACTGCCAGACATAGCCCAGCAGGTGAAGAAGATTTCTCCTTTGTTCCACAGGGCCCAACGCCCCCGTGCAAGAGAAGGACACCCCAGCCATGCATTTTCCAGGCAGCAGCAGCCGCCAGCCCTTTCTGGAGGCAGTGCAGCAAGCCCCAATGCTATTCCACAGTCTGTGAAGCTCCTCTTGTGTCCTTCAGGCTCCTTCCACCCCTTGCTGGAGGAGGTCAAGTGAGTAGAGCTGGGTACAAGCACCAGAATCTACCCCTGATGGTCCCTGTGCAGGATCGGCCCAGGGCAGGCACAGGGCTGGCAACTTGACCTAATGCTGCATCCCCAAGCATCCTGGAGCCACAGGGCATGGTGAGGTCATGCTGTCACCTTGCTGTTACAACTTTTTTCCACCTCAGTTGTTGGCCTTGTTCACTGTCTACAGCCCAGGAGCTCTGCTGATCCAACCCTGGTAAGAACAAGCGCCCAATTTGAACCCAGTGCCCTACTCTGGGAAAGGAGGGTTGTTCCTTGAAGTGATGAGCTTCCAAATCTCTATAAAACTCAAGACCGGATTTTTACAGTTTTATTTATCCCAGGATAAATGAGGATCAGCAGTTCACCTCTGGGTGAATCTTTCCAGGGCTTGGAAAAAGAAACAATGCAACATACTCAAGGTTAGACACAATAATGACCTTGGGCATCATGTCCATCAGAATCCACGTTTGGATGCTCATGTTTTGAATTTATTGTCCATAACATCCTGCTCAGTGCTTGGAAGGTGCCTAACTTCTCAGCTGTTTTTTTGTTTGTTTTTTTTTTTTTTTTTTTTTTTTTTTTGTTTTGTTTTTTTGTTTTTTTGTTTTTTTTTTTTTTTCTGCAATATTGATATTTCCTTGACACTGTCAGTTCAGCTCCAAAAACTTCCCAGTAGGAACATCTCAGTGCATCGTAGGTGTGATCAGATCCTGTTTTAGAGGCTGGGGTTTAAGGTCCCCAGTAAGGTGCTTCCATCATCTGGTCAGAGAGGCTTTGCCACCCCCTTGGATGAAATGGTGCAAAGGCTTAAATAACCCCTGGGTGAGCACCCAGCCTCAGGGCAGCTCAGTGCATAGAGGGCTGCTCCTGATGCTCCAGGAGTGTTTTGGGATTTAAGAGGTGCCTGTTCAGCAGCAAAGTACCTACTTCTCCCCTGCATCCCATGGGCAAAACCAAGGCTGTTCAACCTAGGACCCAGCTGTTCTTCAAGGGAAGAGGCTTACAAGCTACATCCTCCATTGAATATGGTCTCCAGAAAATCATCCTGAAGTGAATAAAGCATCTGGTTGGAAATTGGGACTTTCTGCACTCACCCTCTGTGTTGGCCTAGAAAGATCTCAGATGGGACCATCCTTGGTCTCTACACATCTGCTTTCTGTTTTCCCCACGGGTAGTTTTTAGAAAGCAGCTTCCAAACTCCAGCCAAGGCCATCGTAGGAGTCAGAACATCTTGTTGCTTCATTCCCTGTATTAGTTACTATTGTTTTTTGGCCACAGAAAGCACCTCAGGCGTCTGAGTGGTGTCAGGCAGTTTAAATAAACAGGGAAGGCTTTAAACATAGTCTGGGGATTTCTGGTGCCCTAGGATCTCCCACCCTTACTGTTCAACAGCATTTCTGTCTGGGATCTAAAAAGAACAACGTAAAAGTAATAACAGTGATAATTTAAAAAAAGGAAAATTGGTGAGAAAGAAGCTGGTCCCAAAATCAGGTTTAGATTAAACTAAACAAAATATGGACCAGGATGGTGAAATGAGGATGTCTCTCCTCTTGGCAGAGAACAAACGCCAGGCTGCACGGTCAGAGAAGGTAGCAGGTGGCTCAGCATCACTTGAGGTTTTTGGAACAGGTTGGGCATATGCTCTGGGAACGGTCTTACCCAGCACTGATCCTGCCCTGGGGCTGAGGGATGGTCCAGATGGCTTCTTGAGATCTTCCCAAATGCTGGTTTCTGTGGGAGAGGTACTCAGAGCAGTGATGTTTATCAGCACCTTTCCCAGCCATATCCTCTGGGAAGCTGTCTCCTAAGAAAATAAAAGCATAGTTTAATGACCATTAATATTTTAGGGGAGTTGTTTAGTTAGAACTGACCCAGCAAAGAGTCCTTTTACCTTTCTCCCAGGTTTAAAACCCTTATTTGGCCGAGATGCTGTGACTGCAGACCTCAGCTTCATCCTTAACCCCAGAAAAACCCTCTTTGACCAAGGTGAAAATGGAGAGTTAACTTCCCTTCCCCACCTTGCACCAAATCAATACTTGTGCACAACCAAGCTTTCTATCAAGGGGCACGGGAGGTGGGCTAAGCTGCTCAGCATTTCTGACGTACCTAAGGGAAGCAGAGACATTTTTACCTATACAGGGAGGAATGGACGTTCCTATCAGTGATTGCCCAGCCAGGAAACCAGTATTGAACCGACCTCCCTTTCCAGTTAGTGGTATGGTAAGATAATGGGTGGTAGCAGTCTGCGAGACAGGGATGTCAGTGCTTTTCTTGGGCTGGAGCCACGCAGTCATTTCAGTACAAGAAACAGCCACAGAGATCTCCTTCACTATGAGGGTTGTACTCCACAAGCAAATGATAATGCAAACAGCTTGTTTGAAATATTTATAACATTTTGAACGGCTTGCGTGGCACAAACCCAAGAAAGATGAGGGTTTGTGCTGGCTCTGGGTATGTTTTGGGACATGCTTACACGATCGATCTGGCTTGCATAATCTTATTTTGTCCTTTTATAAGGTGTTTGAGTGCTCAGGCAGCTCTTAGCCTTGTCCCATGGGTTACACCTTGCTTGAAGGTGCTGCTTTCCCAGGTAGAATCAGGCCCTTTATCCCACTGCTCAGCTGTTTTCTTGCTGAGCTGCTGCTGTTACAAATAAGCCAATCTCTCAAGGTTGCACTTCAGTGACCACTCACTGGCCATCAGCAAGCCCTGAGGCTTCTGTTTTCAGCCCCGTGCCCACGTTTTCAAGGCCTTTGCGAATCCTCCCACACTCCAGCAGCCAAAGACACCTGGTACCCAGCTCCCTTTCACACGCTGAGCTCTCCCCACGTGCTGTTTGCAAGCCTGACCCTTTCAGTCTTGCAAATTTAGCAGAAGGGAAAGTTGCAGAGAGGCTTGTGGCCTTTCACTAGCAATGGCAATGCTGTTTTTGCTGGGAGAGTGGGCAGCACAACCAGGTCATCAGGGCTTAAGATGCAGCAGGGACTGGGAATGTTGAGCTTTTGGAAACTTCCCAGCCAACCCCCACATACACTGCAGCCTGTCCTAGACAGATTACTTTTGCTAACCTCTGGTATTAGAGCTGGCATCTTCATATCATAAAGATTAGGTGCTCTACAAATGTGTCGAGCAGTCATCAGCTTTTCAGCTTTGGAGAGACAGGTCATAGTAAGGAACTGGACAGCATTTCTCAGGAGTGATCTGCATGCAGAAATTCCTGCAGCAGCACCACCCTCTGTCAGATCCATACCTTGGTGGCTTTTCTGCAGCTGCCTGCTCGAGCAGGTTTTTAAATGTGATTTTGCTCTTCCCATGC